GTATTATTAAGCAAGAGTAATCAGACATCAACACGCACCAGATGCTTTAACAGGAATAACAATCATACCGAAAGATAGCCCAAATTCTTTGTCGATAATAAATGGTAATAGATAATATACCTATATGTCAGTAATAATAAATGGTTTTCAACTCAAGCTGTACTACGACTTGCGCGCTAATTTGTGAATAATGGTAGAAGAACAATTTAAGGCCTTGTCGGTGACGTCTGGTGATGTCGCGCAACAGGCATTCTTTTCAAGTTTTCAGGATATTTTATATCACTTGTGGTATCTATAATGTAATGCCAGTTTACAATGACCCAAAAAGGCCTACGAGCTTCAGAAAGCGTGATCCTTTAATCAATATATAAATTAGGGCACATTTCTGTTGTTTCTAGTATAGAATCAAGAAGAATTTAGGACAAAGTTTAGAATGAAGATCAAAACAGCTATGAACACTACTAATTGTTTACTGGTTTGTTTTAGTGAATATGCAGTGGCGTGGGCGACTGTAATCTAAGCGATTAAGTGTAAATCTTGCCCTTTCTATGGTGTACCTAAATAGAAAATACTGGTATTGCTATTGCACGTAATACTATTTAATGGCCTTGGAATACTTTTTATTAATCTCTAAAATAAAAGATCGAAATGCACAAAGTGGGCGGTCCGTCTACAACTGCAGTAAAATTAAACGGTCTTTATCAAACAAGTGAATGTTCAAATTACAATTATGCAGGTAAACGATGTGCACAGTGGTATATCGCGTGGCGGACTGAACAGTGAGCGCTGTACCGGGAACAACACATGCAGCGATTTCTCCGAAAACTCATTACCCCGCACGCGTCACGTAGGGACCATAACCGGTTTTATTAGGTTTCACTGTCGCGCCCTAAGTCGGCCGGAGCACGAGAGTGCGCGGCCCGTCTGTACCAAACTTTGTTTAACGCCCACCGACTTACGAACCAGATGTTGTAGTTTTTGAACTCATTTACGTGCCTAGTCATTTAAATAATTAATCTACTAATCAATACTAATCGATATCTATACTAATGTAATTAAGCTGAAGCGTATCTATTTTGTTTAGTGTTAGTTTAAAACGCGATAATCTCTAAAACTATCAGTCAGGCTTAATTGATTTTTATGTACTGGATAGGGTATTTATTGCGGATTAATATAGGCTATACAATATAAAACTAAGAAGCTTAGGACATGGCGCAGTGATCATAAACGCTAGGATGAAATTGCGGGGAACGGCTAGTACCTAATAAAAACTTAAGGTAGTTTGAATGTGTTGGATTCAGAAAATCTATTTCCAAATTACAAATACAAATTTTACAATACAATTTCAGATAGCCTGCTCTTAAACGAAGATTATACTAGTGATAAGTTATGCGAAACGGCGAAGTACAAAGAATAAAAACATTAATAAACCGAACGCTCACAAATACACTAACTACTAAAAGTGAATTCATTCACAAAAAATACTATAACACGTTATAAGAAAGGAAATGTCGTGTATTCTGCAACCGATGTGATTGATTATGATTGCAAAACCTTCCCGTATCAAGGCGTTATTTCCTTTCAATAACAGATCAATTATATTAAAAGCAGCTTGACTATTTAAATTACCCTTTATTCTGTTCTACTTATTGAATCGATACGTCATCGTTACCACGTTATTATTTTTCACATCTCGTACGTCTGCACTAAACTGTGCCAAAAATGTTTTATTTCATCGCTCTACCGTAACTACCTACGTTTGGAACACCTAATCCTTTAACGTCACTAACATTTATTACTCTTTTTATCTTTCTTCTTCTTTTATCTTTAAAGAAAGACAACTCCCGCATTAGGAATAACTATATCCTGTGTCGCGGGAGACTTTACTAACATGCATGAAACGGACACAAAAACACCCAGACTCAGAACAACAATTTGTGGATCACACAAAGTGTAGTCCCATGTGGGGATCGGACCCATAGCACTTAGCATAGTAGTAAGCGGCGTGGAGACCGCTTAAACCACTACACCGTCCGTGCAGGCTACTATAGGCGTACTATTGTTAATGTAATTCATTTATTTGATTACCCGATGAATTTAAGCTATTGAACATGACAAATTTAAATGTCTTGGCTAAATAATGCAGTAGCAACAATGTTGAAAAAATTAGAAGTTAATAAAATGTGTTAATAATAAGTTTAATTGTTTTTTTAAACCTAGAAAGTTGTAGCACGCATTATTAAGGTATATAATTTACTAAACTAATAGCACGGCAGTTAAGTTGTGATTTTTCTCTTCTAAGTTATTGCGGATCGATGATATGATCAACTTGTTATGCAGATCAAAACAAGATATCTTCCGTTTAGATTTATTTACAGACTAGTTATTAACTGCAGCTGCTTTAAGGTAAGATTGTGTGGTTTAGTTAAAACAAGATTTGCGTTAAACAAGAATAGACGTGTGCCAAGACGGAAGCTCGAAGTGCCAACGACCACACATGCCGTAGTCGGTTCATAACTTTATACTTCACGCTCTAATGAGTCATACCACACGCATTTCTAATGAGATAAAGCTTTACCACATTTCAATATACACGCCTTGTAAAGTATTTATTTTTGTAGCAAACTTTAGAAACTACACAGTTCGTAACTGAATGGAGCTGTTTGTGATGAATAACTTTACTAAATTTGAACACAGGATTATTTAACAGGCTAAACTTATGAACACTGTTTTATAGTAGTTAAGATCTACCCTTCCTTATTCTTTTTTTTCATTTTTTTATCATTCACATAGGTATTATTGAAAAAAAAAGGTTTTGTAAAATAGCCTTTATTATGACACATTGAAAAGGAGTCTCAATGTGTACATAAAATTTCGTGTCTGTAAAGTTGAGTAGGTCCCTCGTCTGGATCCATTCATCAATTTAATTCTGAACTGCATATATAATTTTAACTAAGTAGCAAGTGGTTTTAATTCAGGTTTAAGGATTTGACACAAACAAATATTGCAAGTTCAGTAAGGTCTGAATTTATTTCAAAAACCGCACTGACAATATAAAAGTATAAAAAGTACCTTAACTCTGGTAGTAAGTTCACTCAATAGCAGAAACAGCTCTACAATAGCAGCGCTTAATTCCCCAGTCAGACAGTTGTCATTTGTGTAAAAAGCAGCCTATTACTAGAGCACCATACCATCTTTTATTTCCTTAAAAAACAATGACAATAATAATATACTGATTTTTTCTGCGGATATGAGTTGACACGAACGATAATTCAATTCACCATATCCATCATAGTATAAAGGTACAGGATAGTACAGAAATTACAACAACTCTGTTCTAGACATGCAAACGTGCCAAAAAATCAAAAAATCAACTACCACCTTTTAAAACTGCTGCATTTCGTGCACATTTTGGAAGTCTGCGCCCATGATAATATCTGGGGAGGGTTTCTTTTTTCCTTCTATTTTGTTTCAAGCATCGAAAAATGATTCATAGCTATATTCTAAATATACCATGGGTGTGTTGTATACAAAATTAACGATTTTTTTTAACTTGATCTGGAATCGATGTATCCAATTACATGAACTATTCACATGACAAACCCGGAACGTGCAGAAGGGCAGCCTTGTTATTATCAAGCATAGTTCCTCTCCCATACTTACATGCAGTAGATAGAACTCCATACACCATATTATTGCAATAATGCATGCATTTATGACTTATGCATGACATTTAGATGTAAATAAAACATTGAAAATTGACTTAGGCAGTAGTGCCATGTATGATGAATACAAGTACTAAAAAGATATGAATGTTCATGTTCTGCATGACAGAACAATCTAAAAGTTTAGAGTTTATATAGTCGTAAATTATATTAGTGATATCAAACTTTAAACATTTGAAGTATTTAATACGTATAACTAGAATAGAATATCGCCTTATCGCTAAAAGAATTTTGTTACAGACAATCTTTGGAACAAATCGTAAAAAAAGGATGAATTTTTACGAATTGCCTGACGTTTCTACCTAATTACAGTGACAGTAGTCACCAGCTTACTGATTTTCACGGCCTATTTCATCGTTTCCGTAATATAATTTAAATGCATTTATTTCAATTAAAATGTACAAATATTTAACATCCTTCATTGCGTGAAACAATCCCTAAAATGTATCAAATATTAGTTTGGAAGCTAAATAGTTTACAAAATCAAATTGGCCGAGGATCGGTTTACGCAACTTGACACCCCAGGGATATCGATAACTATTAGTTTTGGGATTAGCTCTCGCTTGATGTGAATCTGTTAATTGCTGTATAGGTATGTTTTTGTGAACTTCATGATTGCTGTTGGTAGATAGGATATTGTACAAAATGATACGAGTTTGTTTGGTGCATCAGTATTACAAATTAGTGCACCACATATGACTTGCGTGTAATGAATATGCATTAAATTAAAACGCTTTTAAAAAAATAAGAAGTTGGCCTTATCTAACAAATTGTTGTAAAAAATTTACATCATTTGGCAACAAAGAAGCAGTGTAGAGTGTAGTAGTAAAAAAAATAATACATATTTTGTTTCAAAGAAAAGCACTTGTTCAACAATTTGATTTCTTCCAGGCAATCATTAGACGGAAATTCATAATGATTGCCGTAAGGAATGAACTATATTCGTTGTTTTTTATCAGCGAAAGCTAAACATAATTCACTTCTATGTGGAGCTCATTTGAAATACATTGGATAATGGATTGTAATATTCAAATACATTATGTATGTTCTTTCCTAATAGTTTGTATCCGACAAGATTTTTATTTAAAGACAGCTTTTAAAGAAAACATCAGTCACACCAGAATACATTTTAAACTAAACTAAGTCATATCTAAACATGGCTTATCGAAGCTGTTTCAAACATCACCAACGGTTCGCAACAAGCTCGCGGTACAACGCAAACTAACTTCTAAAATTAATTCCAACACCATTGTAAGGCCGCATTTGTGGTATGTTCTAGAAAGCAAAAGTACTAGGTTTGCATAGAAGTGAAGGAACGTTAGCGGTGCTCGCGTAGGCTCGGTGCGTCGGGCAGACGGCGTGCGGGGGTGGATCGATACCCTGGCCGCATTGTTGCCCCAGCTCACACCCCCCTCGGCCCCCGCATACGTCGGTGCTGCGCCCCGCCCTCGGCTTGCACCCGAAAATTCGCCCCATTTGATCCTGAGAGCGCGAATCAATCGCTTTTGTTGCAGTAACTTGATGCATCACCCTAAAGGGCGAAGTCGACTGTGTCATGCAATAACCTTTTTACGCAACCGTCGATCTATGTCCTATATTAATACGGATGAAAATTGTTTACAAGGGTTTGATTTTTTCTATAAACAGCTGTTTACGACAACTGTTTAAGCAAGCATTGTACCAGTCGGCATAAAAGCAAATAAAAGAAGAAAGCGTAGCGCAGCAAACAACGAAAGGAATGGCAAACTGAAGTTTATTACAGAATGAAACTCTTAATTAGAGGGACTAGATATTGTTGGAGAATATTTTACAGCAGTCGCTCTGCGTAATTAATTTCCCGATGTAAAAATGTTGTAAAAGTGTGCATGAATAATGTATTGCATTTCACTTTCACATAAAAACAGGTTTTTTTATCTTTGAATTTGATAGGAGACATATTTGAGTATCGGAACACAATGACTTATAGTGCTCAAAACAACTATAATTTGTCACAGGGTGCGTAATTTGTGATAAGCTTGTGGTTTGATAGAATAAAAGTTGATGATGTTAATATATCATTATTAAATGTTATGCAAAATGAGCAGTTCACTTGTGGATGAAAATATACAACATATTAATAAGATTTGCAAGACTCAGGTGTGTTAACTACCTACGTCTGTTTAGCACACAAAAAATATTTAAATAAAAACTATTTTTCATCATCGTCGTTAAAAAAAAATTGTAATAGCTCAACATAACTATTAAAAAATAAAAAAATAACTATACGTATTACAAAATATGGCTAATTACACTATTGTCATAGTTCAAAAAGTCTAAAACTTATGTATAGTTTAGTTTCTGTTACTTAAAATGCATGAAAGTTCGAAATTTGAATTCCCACTAATTAAAGCTTAAGTTACCAATCATAGTATCAAAACATAGCTGCATTATGTGTACGAATAAGTGTAATATAACGTCACAGAGTGAGAACATGAATAATACAGTCTATGTAAACACTACACACACGTAGTCTTCTTCAGTCAATACATTTAAAGCACCCATAAAATATTTCATACAAATAGGATTCAGAATTTATAAAATTTATTTTCTGTCTTTCTTTACGAGATCTAAAAAGTAAGGTTTAAAGATATGACACGACTTCATATTCGACTCTGACACGTCATTATATTTACTATCGCCTAACACTTTGGCTCAGCTCCGGATTTATACATTATATGTGGAGCAAGTTTTAGTGTTATTAGTTTTTTAATATAACTGCTGAAGTGTTTGCATACACGGAGTATCAGCGTGTACAGTTAGTTTAAGGACTAACGATAAATGCACTCCGCCATTAAAGATAAGCCCACACCTAGCTAATAAACTAAAATAAGGTAACATTAAACCTCGGCTTTCAATATGGTATAGGTGATTGTATGGTACGGGTGATTACCCATTACAGTTTAAGTGTCCTATACACATGGAGAAAATGATGTAAGATATATAAAGATAATGTAGGTAAACAAATGTGCAGTATAGACATATAGCGTATATGTTTACACGTAGCATATAATGTAATGTAAATATTGAAATAATAACAAAAAGTAAGTATGACAAGATACAAATCACAATAGTTTTGTACGACTTGCCAGTCTATTGTATTGTATTGTTTACGGTAAAATGCTTTTTGAAAGGACCAAAAAAAAACTAACTTCATAGCAAGTATAAGTAAGAAACTAAAAACACTAACGAGTAGGGACGCACTCCATAGTATTTTTTTTTAAATATTGAAATAGTTGAATGGCGTCTGTTGTGTAGGGTGTGCCGGTTACATACCTGCTGTCATTGTAATTATTCCAGAAGAGATTTTCCGATACGTTGTTGCCATGAATAAGTAACAGTATCATAATGTCTCGTAATAATATTACAAGACGTGAAATTAATTATTTAAACTTTGTTAGACTTGACTTGTTTTAACTTAGTTAGACTTTACATTTGTCGAGTTTAAAAAGTGTCTGTAAAAGTTAAGAAAGATCTGCAGCAGAAATAAAGTTCCTGGACTGATGTTACAACGAGTAATGTACCTACCTACTTAATATAAAAAGCCCGTTTACACAGATTTTTGACGCCTTTTCTTTACAAAATTATAACTCTACAACTACATAATTAAATATGAATAATTATATATGATAACTAAGAGCATAAATATGTGGGACCCAATTTTTTGAATTATTCATAAAATATTCTGTTTATAGACCAAAATCAAGCTTCATTTCTGATTCACATATATACTTAATATACCTGTTTAATTGAACTTAGGGTTAACAGGAAAACAACGCGCTTTGTAATTGAAGGGAACAGAATTGGATTATTGGACAAAGTTATTCAACTTTGGATTTTATGTTTAACACACACTCGTATGTTCAGTTCAGGGAAACTAGCACTTTGTCATATATCATTCGTATATTTTACTCGTGATAGATTTCTTGGGAAATTTAAATGCTCCTGAAGGTATTTGGTTCAACAAGTGTTGACATGTCGAGAGTTTTTAAGGAGTAACTCAAATTTCAAGAACATCGAGAGGTACTCCTAAAAACGCGAAGATTGTAACCCGACCCTAACGTTAAAATACACACTTAAATTGGAAAATAGTAAACTTAGCAGCGGTACGCATTTGCCGGGTCGTAATACTCGTAATATTCCATTAGCCCTTTGGCCCTTCGCATCATAAATCTTTGGAGTATCGAGGGCTCGCAATTAGTGCTATGTATTACTTAAACATGCAAAGTGATGCTCCGTCGAGTCGCACTCGTTGAGACCTATAAACTTATCACTGGTTTATATTTACGACTGTACAAATCTTGAATGCTGTTTACATTTAGATATTGAATTTAGATGAGGAGTGGTCTGGTACTTATATGGAAGGTAGTACCTAATTGCAGCAAAAATGAACAAACTAGTTTTCTGGTTAAAGGCAACGCTTTATTTAATTTACTGAATACTCGTCCTCCCATCTTGAAAGTGGCTTTTAAAAAATTAAGTTTCTAAATAAATATAACTTTTTTAATGTTATTCAATTCAGTGTTTAATTATTTTGTAAAATTGTGTATTTTTTTTTTGTTACTAAAACCAGATACCGATTAGAAATGCGCTACACAAGTACAAACAAAATATAGAACCGTATTAAAAGTAGTTAAATGCATCTTTGACATTAAATGCTTCATCAATATGGTTGAAATGAGATATCTACCAGTTGCATCTAATTATGGGATATTGGTTTATCAGTAAGCGATACATATGCACACAAGCTGACACGAGATAACGTGGGCGCTCGAACAGGGACGTCGCACTCCAATCCCTGATAGTTGTTCAGTTATCGGCCAGTGGGTATATAAATAAATCACATTCGGAAAGGGCCAGATAAAGCAAGGCTTATTGTTAAGCTCTGGTCCAAGTTACAAGAGAGAGAAAAACGCGTTTTATTGAAGGCAAAAATTAAACTTTGAACATATTAGTCTCAGAATATTGTCTGAACTTTTATTTACAATACAAATTAAGGAACGTTAAGTTAAAGCACGTTAACAAATTAAAGAGGTTCCCTTGATGTATTTATAACAAGCGTTTTTAGGAACTTTTACATTAACAATATATGTTAGGCATAATAAATGTAGGTACATAATAAATATATTTTTATATATAATCATCTACATACCTATTAAATAATATCACCAAGCCATTTGCGCATGCCTCACTTGATTTACGGATGTAAACGACAATAAAACACGACCAAGACTCGATATCTACGATTTGGCAAACTGCCAAATATCCTAAAAGCGTGACCAGGTGACTAACATTATTATCTAATGGTTCGATAACATTTGTTTATAATAAAAATGTGTTTATACACTTAATATACGTATACCTATATTTATTTGTTTATAAGTCTTTGTTTTTATTTCGAACCTATGATTTTATTTAATAACTAGTTACTGCATCTAGGTATATTTTATATCAACGAAAATTAAAAGTTAAATATTGACTGTCAAAATTGGCAAAATATTATTATCTCCAATTTCTGACATGCGGAGCTTAGCATTCAGCTTACACAAAGTGTGAGGTTAATTTGCATTTTTACGCTTTCGGTAATGATCGTCATCTAGTATTTCTTATTAATCGTTTAATTTCAAAACAATTTCAAATTAAGCAAAACATAAGATTATATGTTCCAGTTTATTGACCAACATTCTTTAAGTCAATAAAACAAACATGTTTAGTATTAATTTGTTATTATAGCAGTGAATCGCTCTCGCTCATAAAACAGACATTTAAAGTTAACTCAATAACTATAGCGTTATAATCATCAACGTATATTAACATTAAATTTTCAAAGGTTATAGCAATAATGATTAAAATTGTTGAAGGCGCATGTGTTTGTAACGTAAACACTTGTCATGTCATACTAAAAATGTGTCGCCATTAGGTCGATATTTATCACAGTAATTAAATTTATTCGATACATATGTACGAGTTACAAATTTGTAATATTTAAAATAAATTGCTGTAAATATAGTAAAGGCTGTGTAATTCAAATCGCTAAGTCCAATATTGTGTTGCGTTATTTGAGTACAATGTATGCACTATAAACCACGATATAAGAAAACCTGTTTAGTTACGACATTAACAGGTTTCAACGACTGAGGATATACCTATAACTCGTTAGATTTCACCGTAGATAGGATTAACTAATATATAGGTACTATTTACAACCACGTATGTACACATTGTAATTATGTTTTAAAAAAGTATCACCGTCTAGAATGTAGGTGCATCCCATTACCTCGTGACGATTTAAATAACCATTTGCCTTTAATTTGTCACCCTCAGGGGTGATACTTTTTCATCAAATTCAATCAGGACCAATTTTCTAAATCGGTCCACAAAAGACGCAATTGTAGACAATAAACAATAAAATACAACCGATTATAGAACCTCCTTCTTTTGAGTAGATTAACAACAGCCACGGCAGGGCTCAACATATTACTTCTGTTATA